GCAAAGTCATTGGAAGTTAAACGTGAACAAATGATTGTGGGTGCACAGAGACCGAGGAAGGACAGGCGCGGCAAGACACAGTTCAAACATGGGGTGATGCCGCTGATAGGAAGGAGGCGGAATGCGGACGTAGATGAAACAGGTGTAGTGAAATGGTAACTAAGCAATGTCGGTAATGAAAAACCTATATGCAGGGACTGGGCACGCGTAAATGTGTGGGACGAGGGAAAACTCCGATTTCATCCTCAAGCAGACTCATGAAACTGTGCAAAATAATTTGAATCGGCTCCTGTTCACTTACCGCACGACACCAACTGACTCGACAGGAAGTCACTTGCGGAGTTGTTTGGCTGGCCACGACGAACTAGACTGCACCTACTTTTCCTGAAACCACGAAGGAGAATTGATTCAAAGCATGACTAGATGCCAGAGGAAATGTGTCAATGATTTTGTTTCGGTATACAGAAGACTATCTCACGGAGAAAGCAGGCAACCTGCTGCTCTCACGTCCTCAACGAATAACTAATCGGAGCTACCGGTGGAGGACGGCCGTGTAGTTCTTCGTCATTTTGACCATTTCGGACCACGCTCAATCGAACTACATGCGTGGGATCAAAAAGCGACTGGTACTCTTAAAACTGACAATGAATCCGCCTTATAAAACCAAAAACCGCAAACGGATGCGGAAAAACCTCAAGTACGACAATTATAACTCACTCCTAAGCCAGTGGATCGGTATCAACCCGGAGCAGGCAGTCTCTACCACGGATGAGATGAGTGACACGTTTGTAGTTGAATATTAATTCGTGAACACAGGTGCCCACATGATTGGTTGACATTGACGTTTCCTTAAACTGTTTATTTCAATAGTTTTCTTTTCGGCATTTCTAACCAATGTAACGTAGAATACTTTGATTAAACGGCTTCATACTACGCCTGTGCGTTCTGTTCCGTCCTTTTGCCAAGGGCCATACTAAACACCCAGGTAGTTCAAATCACTTAAAATACTCTACGCCAAAATCAAAGACCCAAATGGCGTCTCCCAAGGAAGTGTTCTCGGACCACTACTTTTCATAATCTACGTACTCAACATATGCGATCCGATCAAACATTGACACCCGTTTCTGTTTGCATATGACGCCCAACTAGTTTCCTCATTTCATTCAGACCAACTATAAATGTGCAGAAGAAGCATCTATGAAAACCTGTCTGCACAATTTATACCCGGTGAACCTTTGTTGAAGTTCCCTGCGTTAACACCCAAGTACTTGGGTAGACATGCCGTATTCCAGAAGGCCCTATCATACCTACGGGAAACGTGATCCCAAAGTCTGATTCAGTTCAGGATTTAGGAATTAGGTGCTCTAGCTCTTTCAATTTCGCCGAACATGTGCTTTATCAGGTTGCAAAAGCAAGGCAGTTATGCGGATATATCACTAGAACTTTCTCCCTGCCTGGAACACGACTTCAGTCATTCAAAATAAAAGTAGGACCAGACTCTGGGGTACTCTACTATCGTTCACAGCCAATTGAGTAAGAAAGACAGAATAGCTCTGGAAAATGTCCAAACGTCATTTACGAAGCTGGTAATGGAAAGCTGCTCAAACCTGAGTTAGTACGATCACTGTCAAAAACTCCAAATGGTTTCTCTTTGGCTGAAAAGCCTAAAGTGCAACCTTCTTTGCTTCTTTGACGTAATTCACAGACGACTATGCAACCAGCAGCGCATTTGATCTGCAGAAAACTGCAATCTACCCCACACTAAATGGTGAGTACTTGTTGCTCTCAAAGCTAGCAGGTCATAAACTCGATCGAATTTCTTCCTAGTGTGATACACTGATCTTTGTAACAAACTGCCTTTACAGATACGCATGAGAGCAAACCATGCCACATTTCGAATTCCTCTGCAGACTTTCCTGTTTATATGAAATATGCTGAGGATCCTTTGCTCACAACAATCTCTAAAATAATCGACGGATTCTGGTATAAATAACAAATGAAGAGCTTGTTGCCTACAATCAGCTTGCTCCTATCATATCATAAGCCACAAAATCAAATCCTGTGTCCATGAAACTTATTATCCCCTTCCTATTATTATCCTCTCCTGAGTCTCACAACTAAAAATTGGTGACACAAATATCGGCACATCTTACATATTAGGTGCTTGGGTCTAGAACCAAAAGAAAAATTCATGATCCGAGTTTCTATTATTTAAATTTATTTTCTTATTATGAAATCATGTCACATAAACCAAGAAACCTGTTCATTGTACAAATGATCGTTAGCACTTAAGGAGCAATATGTAGCTTGTCAGCACATGTATGAATTTGTTTATTTAATAATACACCGAGCGTCGCTGAACTCAATAGTAGAGATCTCAGAAAAGAGTTCCCGTGATATTTTAATGGCTAAACTCGTGTTGTTGACGTCACAAATAGAAAAAGGACTCGAATTGCGAGGTTTGTTTAATTTATCTACCCGAAGCTTAAGACAAAATCGACACCTTCCAAATTCTGACAACTTAAGGGACAGTCAAAGTGAAACAAACACGATACTTTATTGATTTCAAGCACTAAAGAGAGTTTTGTTTGCAAGATGCTCACTATAGCCACTGTTGGTAAACAAGCAGAATATGAATCTGATACCTAGCAGGGTATTCTCACAGTAGTTCTCGAGCAATGAATTCATGCCGCCGGTTCCCAAAGACACATTTTACGGCAACAGCACATTTCATGCTGTTTTTCTTACCAACATTCTAGGACCATTGTCAACATTAGTGTAACAAGCAGTTTGAACTGACCATGTATGCCTCTCAAAGCAAGAACTGTCCTACGGAGAACCAAAGGTCAACTGAGATCCGGCCTGATAGCGTATCTCAGGTTGGCTTGAGAAATAAATGACAATGGCGTGGACTTTCTGAGTCCTAGTGAGTAAACTTATTCTGTATGTTCTATAAATTGAATCGAACGTTTTTGCCATGCCGAATTATCTCTCTACTATGCAAGAACGCAAAGTTCCGAAGAACACCCTTTCGATAAATCTCAGCAGACGGTAGAGATTGGCGAAATCACAACGAGGCATAAATGTAGCTGTCTTAATCCATAAATTAGTCGAAGTACTCAGGTAGCTGCTACCACAGTACACCTAGGCATGCATAGACACGCACATAGTCAAAAGAGAGAGAGCATGTGCTTTTAAACTGATTGGGTAGCTCACCCATCATCTGGTCGATGTCAGCGTGTGGAGTGAAAGCTGTTTGGAACTGCGTTAGCCAAAGGGTAGAAGAAGCGCTTGAGCAAGCGCCCTCTGTTTACATAGCACAATTAGTTAGCGTACTCGCAGTGGCATTGGCCGTCCGTAACATTCCTTTCCTAAGCGCATTGGATAAGCATATTTGTATGACCTAAAATAGTTCGGAAGCATCAGCAGTCTTAATTTGATGTCCACTTTTGGCCAGATGTTTTACAGTGGAAATCCTGACACAACTAAACGCACATTATGCAAAGCCCAGGGACAATGCTGTGCTATCCGTTCAGACAGACACCTAGTCATATGTCCGAGTACCTAACACAACAGAACTCGGTATTTCAGACATTGGGCAACAACCGGCGCGGTATCGGTGATGTCGTGTGAATAGGCAGCTGAGGTTTGGGGGCTACTACACTGGAAACTTTTGTTTCGAAATCGAAAAGTACCTCCCTTGAACGAACTAATAAAAACACATTTTCCTTGGGAGTGGTTGTAATCACTTTACGAGAAACGTCATTCACTGCATGTTTCGGATGAACGATGCTGAGTAACCGTTTCCTTGCAGCTTTTAAAGTGCACGCTGCCTTTCAACCTCCAATGTATCTGGGTTAAAAATTTATCGAAAAGGGTGCTCTTAGCAACCTTGTGTTCTAGCAGTTTCAGGGATATACTTTCGCGTCTCTGTATTGCTACACAATCACAAGGAAAGCGATTTACACAGCAGCAGCGGTGGAGACAATTGCTGAATCAAACGCATATAGGTGGACTGAAGTTTCTTCTTAAAGTGATCTTTACTATCAGTTTCCGACCGTATTTAATTGTCAGAAAACGTTGGAGACGATGGGGAATTCTTCATTTCCTGAAATTGTTCCAACAAGCTACAGTAACTACACCAGGACAACGCATTTAATTAAAACAAAATTGTTGGAACCATAGCGAGTGACGACTTTACCATGATGATTCCCGAAGGATGCTTGCCCACAGCAATTCTTTTCACACTGTGGTTCACCTACCACATCTGGTCATGCAAAGTGGTACTGGTGTGGTTCTTTATGTTCCACAAATCCACTCTGATGGAATGACAATACTACAGTAAATGCGAGTAAAGCTACTTTACAAGTGATCATGTATTTGGCATAGAAGCAAAGTTATTAAAGGTATTCTCGATAACAATGGTGCAAATGAATTTTCATCCACCTTACCTGCTTTTGCGCCACACACAGTTTTATATCGATTCTCTAATTAGTGTTAGTTTCTCTAACAGCATAACGTCAAAGTCATACATAGTGCCAGGATAGTTATTATAGTCACTTTTTCTTCGAATGAATACGACTGAAATTAACGAGTCATTGACAATGGTACTTCAGTTTACTGGTCCTCGCGAATTTCTCTGAAAAGCACGGGTCGTCAGCACCATGCGCATCACTTCCAGAGAATTGGAACGCTAGTCCGGTTTTGCCGACCTGAGGTTGGCCGACCTCAGTGTGATTTAATTCTAACGAACAATCCCCTCGGGAGAGAAAAGCCAGCAGTGTAAACGAGTCGGTTACGTCTCACTTCAGTCACCTAGGTAAGGACATTTCGTCTTATACAGATGTTTCGGGTGTTCTTCTTCTGATCGAGACACTACTAGTAGCCAACTTGTAGGTGTATGGATGACAGAAAGCACACTGTTTAGTTCGATAGGCAGTTTTATTACCTACGTATTGAACAAATGAGCTGACGTCCTAGTTGTGGTGCTAATAGTTATATTAAATAAGAAATACCGTTAATATTTGTATCACACTGGGTCCATATAGTCTAATATCAAGGTAACGTCTAAAATCGTCATGAACACACTGAAGATGGACAGTGTGAAGTATGTCTTGGGAGGAGCTAAACAAAATATGTACCACGCAGGCATGTTGGCTGACATTGCTGAGCTCCGAATCGCTGCATTCAACATTCCGAGAGCATCGGACACCGAAGTGACGATGTTGTAGAACAAGTAAGATTCTTGCGCTCGTATTGTGGCTACAGAAGGAAGTGAAATGTTCAACTAATTAGAAACATTATAGTGCAAAGAGATCAGATCAGTAACTAAAAGGATAATCATCAAGAAGTGTTACCACAATCCAATTTAATGCAATGTCATGTATTCCGATCGGCGCCAACTCTGATATATGGCATGTAACCATTCGTCACTTGATGCCAACCTCCCCGTACCTCCTGTGCGCAAGCACACTGAAGCCACGCATGGCCTGTAATTTATCAAACTATTTGTCTGAATTATGTTTTGGACTGAATCATCCGTGGGGGGTCTGAGGTTGGTTACGGAAGGACTTACGGACTCTGATGCCTTAGTATTGCACTAACCTACCTCTTAATGCCCGTTTGTCGGTCTGATGTGGAGGTCTTAATTCTCCAAGTCTTTAAGTTTCATTTTTAGCACCCTCTTTAACTTTTTACAGCCCAAATGTTACGATCTAGATGATTGTTATGCCGTGGTTTCGGTGTGAATTTCGACATACCGCTGCTGCTGATGATAATGACGGTGATAAATATTTTTCGTACAGCCAAGCGCATTTCAACTGAGAATCACGGGCAATGATCGACTTCAGCGCATCGGATGTTCTCATTTCGGTAACCAAAAGCTAGACCAGAAATGAGTGCTGGGTTAAGAATCCTTTTCGCGGAAAGGACTAGCACTCATTTGTAGCCTTGATATTTGTCGCTTCTTTTATTTAAAGTTTTGTAATCTAAGCCTCAGACTTTGGTGATCCAGGATATTAATGCAGACTGTGTGCCCCATCTTGGAGCAATTACACCTTTTTAGTTCACCGGTGCATTAAATGTCGTGATTTGGAGTTTTCACACACAGCCCGTACATTTCAAACCAAGTCAATCGCAGTTGTAGGTAGTTGTTATAATTATTCTATCAATTCGCTTTCTTGCCAGACAGTCCTCCCAGCCTATGTTTTATGATCCACCGTTTTCGTTGTGTACGATTCGTACAATCAACTTCGTTCGATCGCTAAGATGAGTTGACTGGGGTAACCACGTCTGCATAAAAGTGTCTCCTGATCATCTACCCCATTAGATGAAGCACCGCACAATTCAAACTTCACACAGCTGAGAATAGGATTAGTTTGATGGAATCCAGTTTGCTTGATAGGTAATTGCAATCGAAGTTGATTGATCATAGCACTTTTTTCAATCAGGTCCGGCGTCACCCGAAAGGGTGCGATTTTGTGGGCATGATTCTATGTTTCCCCAACAAAAGTTGTTTGCAGCTGACATTCTATGGAGCCTCTGTATGTCACTACGTCGGTGTCGTCGGTGGTGTATGCAAGTGTTCCTCTGGCGTTCCCGGGGGTCCTCGAAACGGGCATTAGTTCGACGCCTCTCCATCAATGTGTCAGTTGCAGTCAATCACGTTACAAAACAGCACTCCTGATCACTTTTCTGAGCAACGGTTAATCGCTTTTGTTTGTGATCCGGCTAGCCGCAAGAACTAGTAACGCAAAGTCCCAAGGCTAAACTCGTCATACCAACTTCATACCAAACAACCAGGCTCCCGTACCGCACAGATTACTACTCGGGTTTAGTTAAAAATTTAGCACGGGTGTTATTTGCTCCTGTGCCTTGCCTAAGATTTCAAACAGGCAATAACTATTTTGTGTATGTGCTTTCAAACGCATCATATGCTGACTCTTTTACTGATCCCGGCAACAACAGCGCAAAAAGCTTTACCCTCATATATAATTTAGGTGGTGGATTCATATGAAAAGTATGGGGGATAGCTTGAAACCATCAAGAGCACTTATTGCTGTTTTCAAAGGCATGTCTAACCACATACATAGCAGAGTACGTTCCTACGAAGACTAGAGCAGAATTGGGGTCAAAGTTCATCATTTGACCGAGCTTGTTAATTTAACAGTGGATGTCGTCGCTATTTACACCTCTTGTGCCTCAAGGCCTCACCATTCAGCAGCATAAATTAGCAACGGAAACCTAAATCGAATAAATTTTGTCTTAAATATTTTAAGAAACTTGAAACTCTGAGTCCCCTTCAGCCACTTCATTAACGTAATAAGAAGACAGAGGTTGCGATATGTTAACATTTCGATTGCTCTCGTCAGTCGTTACTCATTACAGGCAGAAAAACACGTAATATATGAGGTCCACACTTAGTAACATAGCTAAGCAGATAAAAATGCTGGGAATGACGTAATCAGGTCCAAGGCTATCTAACCGATTGTCACAGTTGTTTCTGGGCATAGAGCACGGGACACTTCAACCTTATCAGTAGCGCCTCTCCAATTGCAAACAACGTCGGGTTCCTGTTGCGCAACAGCACCATGAATGAATAGATTGGGTTCACCTGGTGATGAGTCAGCATGAGGTGTTTGGAGATAGAAGAGGCAGTGTTCCGGTTCATTCTTTGTTTCGCTCCGCCTTGGTTAGACAGCAACTGACTTAACCACAATGGGAAGTGTACCGCCACCCTTTGAGCCAGCCGGCGACCAGTCTTGCCTATGTAAGTGTCACCGCAACTGCAAGTGAACTGGTAGATGATGTTACAGGCCGAACTGATTGGCGCGCTGCTCGAACGGATGTGGAGAGGAATCCTTCGTGTAGTGTGAATAAGTCGTAGTTGGGCGGTGGAGTAGGTGGGCATTAGAGCGGACCTGAGCTTATGACCAGCTTCATTTGCTAAGTGATCCCCCTAGAACGGTCAGAATAGATAAACATTCTTCTTCTCCGCAGTTTGTACGGGCGGCTTCTCCTTGGGGGGACTGCTATGGGTCTGAATGAATTTCTCCGGATACCCATTGGCTAACAAAGTCCGGTATACAAACTCTTCTTCAGCCTTGAGTAATTCCGGATTGCATATCCACCTGGCACTGTAGAAGAGTTTTTGCAAGGTCGCGCTTGTATGCAACTGAGGCGAAGCTGGAAAATGTAGGTATTGTCTCTCCAGGTTGCTTTTCTGTACACCGTGCGCTGCAGTGTGTCATCGGTCCTTCTCTTGATGAGCACGTCAAGAAACGGCAGTCTGTCTTCTAGTTCCTTCTCCTGTGAAACAGAAATGTTCGGGTGAATTGAGTTCAGGAGGGCAGCAAGACAATCAAAATGTTCACCATTAGTGAAGACGAGAATGTCATCTACATATCGATTGTAAATCTTGACTTCAACTATGCAGGCAACAACTTTCTTTTCAAGCATACCTAGGAAGATGTCTGCCAGAACTGGTCCCAATGGACTGCCCATAGCAACGCCGTTAGTCTGTTTGCATGCCGTCCCTTCTAACTCAAATCGCACATTCTCAGTACACACCAATATCAAGTCTCGCAGGAACTCTAGAGGAATGCCCACAGTGAGGTTCCGATTCAAAATAATTTGGCATAGGTCGTCAACCGTTTCACGTAGGGGCACATTCGTGAACAGCGATTCCAGGTCTAGTGAATACATGATCTCCGCGTCAAGTGTTGTTCGTTCCAGTATATTCACCAATTCAAAGGAGTCTTTCAAACAATGCGTGTTCAGGAGCTTACGCACGGGTTCTAGGAGATTTGCCAACCAACGGGCTACTTTGTGGTAGGGTGAGTTATTCATACACATTATTAGGCGTAGTGGAATTCCCACCTTGTGCAGCTTCGGCGCACCCCTTATTCTTGGTGTTTCCGTCCCTGTCGGTTTTAGCTGCTGATATTGTGACTAGGAGATATAACCATGAAGCAAAAGAATTTGCAGATGTCTCATAATTTGTTTCTCCACCGAGATATTGTTGTCCAACGTCTTGTCAATACGAAACTTGCGTCCATCTCTGTGAATCGACTCCATTTTTGCGATGTAATCAGCTTTGTCCATTATCGCCACACCCGTGCCTTTATCCGGTTGCAGGAAAATTATAACCTTCATTTTCTGCAGCTCCTTGATTACAACATAGCGTTCCGACTTCGAGCAACACCTCTGACTAATAGGCGTGTTCTGAAACTGGTGCGCCATATCCACTAATTTTGCCCGAAACCATCCTGCATCAGCCGTTGATTTCGGCGATAGGTCGCTGAGTTGATCGTACAGATATTCGAAATTACTCTGTGGGTAAATCATGTCTGCATGCCTCGGCGGTATTCGGTATTTCAATCCCAGCGAAAGAACCTCCAACTGTTCTCGCGTGCACCGAGCTGCAGACAGATTGTACACATGCTTCTGGCCCTCGATAGGGAAAGGGATGTTGGCCGCTCTCACAAGGGTATCTTGAAGGCTGCGCAGGGTCATGGTCCTAGTAAGCTGGAGAGTATCAGCAGAAATTGTCTCAAATTTGAAACGGTAGACAAGTGACAAGCCATTCGAAACAACCGCGGATCGCTTTTGTGTCTCCAGGAACTTATGTTCTCTTTCAATGCAAGCCTCGATATGTGCGAACGCAACCCTGGCTAGATTCACACTGTTAGCGAGCAGCTTATTTTTCGACAAAGTTTTAACAAATCGAGATGGTAATCGACCTGACTGGGTACATTCTTGATAAAAATTTAACCCGTACGCGTTACACTGTAATCTTGCAGCGCAACGACAACAATCGATCCAATGATCTCACAACTTCAGCGGGGAGTCTTCTTTTAAGAAATTTGAAACACTGAGTCCCCTTCAGCCACTTCATTAACGTAGTAAGAAGATTGAGGTTGCGATATGTTAACATTTTGATTGCTCTCGTCAGTCGCTACTTAATACAGGCAGAAAAACACGTAATATATGAAGTCCACACTTAGTAACATAGATAAGCAGATAAAAATGATGTTATTAAGTGTGGACCCCATATATTGTGTTTTCTGCCTGTATTGCGTAGCGACTGACGATAGCAATCGAAATTTTAACATATCGAAACCTCTGTCTTCTTACCGCGTTAAATATTTTACTTATTTGCTAGGCTTTCTCCCCAGGTGTATTTCTAGTGAACAATCCCACTCTTTAGATCGGTGTGACGATTTTTGCAATCAAGGTGCTATTTGCATATAGGTTTCTGTCGC